GAAGTCCTGGAGGCGGGCATGGGAGGAGGAGACCAGGGAACTAGAGAGAAGGAGGTCTTGTGAGGTGCGGAGTGTGCGTGCTGGGTGGTACTTGGATATTAGGTCAGAGATAAAGTTCGGGGCCAGTGGCAGTATGGTGGACGGCTTTGTAAACTCTGAAAGCCCAACTCCAGTAAAAGTAAAGGCACTACCTTCTAGTGGGGCTGTAAGGGTTAAATACATGTTTATTCTAGGGGACTAGAAAAGCACTTTTACTTTCCTGATCCCCTGGGCCTTCCCCCACGAAAGACAGCAGTGGATTGTCCCTCAACATACTTACTGTATGTCCAATTCAGAGCTGTGGTCCCTGCATTTGTCTTGATAACGTCAGAGACATCTGACCACCAGAGTTTAGAGAGGAAGAAGCTCCAAGGACCAGACTAGCAGTATGGAGGAAGCTTTTGGACTGGAGTATGAGGTAAGTAAAATTGCTTTACCTGGTCCCCCTAGGCATAAAAGAGTAGCTAACCCTTTTAGTGCTGGCATAGTTTACTGGTTTACATTCTTTAGTTTACATTTGGTGGGTCCTGAATAACATCCTGACCAAGAGCTGCAGCTTTGGAGATGCTCTGACCCAGTCATCTAGCCATTACAATTGGCCCTTGTCAAAGTTACTCAAATCCTTTTGCTTGCCCATTTTTTCTGCTTTCAACAACTCATAATGGTATGGCTGATCGGTGTATATTTTGATTCACATAGTGAATCTCTCACAACTTAAACAACTAAAGCAAGATAAGGTCTGCAAGGGAGGACTTTTAGTTTTCCTTGAGTTGAGCTTTACCCTTTCTCTGCCAGGCCCTGTTCTCCACTCTTAAGCTCTGGTGGCCAGACCATTTTTGCAATTTCTCCATTGCTTTTTTATTTTTCCCTTTATAGTTTCCAGAGTTTATAAAAGACTCCCTAAACCATACATTTTCTGAAAGCACATGGCCAGTATAAAGAAAAGGTGTTACAGATTTTTAAGGCCTTGTGATATTTGGTCAATTGATTATCATTTTCATTAAAAATTACACTAAAATCATTATTAGCAGATAAAAACACAGCACATTTTACATAATTCCCACTAAATATAAAAGCCTTACATGTATTTAGTAAAAAAAAAATAACAAATATTTTTAAATTGTACATTTCTGTGAAATGGTGAAAATAGAATGTACACAAAACTGCAAACTAACAAATTTCTCTAAAAATCAGGAGGTTTTAATTTTTCCCTTCTTTCAGAGTTTGTAAAGAAAAACCTCTAAACCATATGTTTTCTGAAAGCATATGACCAGTAGAATAAAAAAGAAGGTGCTACTGATTTTTAGGGTCCACAATAATTGCACAAATGTTTATCAAAATATTGTTGCTAAAAATACATTAAAATCATTATTAGAGGATACAAACACAACAGTTTTTATAAAATTCCAACTAAATTCCTACTAAGTATAAAAGCTTAACGTGTATTGAGTTAATAAACAACAAATATTTGCACATTTTAAATTGCGCCTTTTTGCAAAATGGTGAAATTCAAGTGTATGCAAAACTGTAAATATTCAAATGTCTCTAAAAATATTGAGGGTTTTTATTCACCTTTGTAAAAGACCCCACCATATATTTTCTAAAAGCACATGACCAGTAGAATAATAAGAAGGTGCTGCTGATTTTTCAGGCCTTGTGATATTTGCGCAAATGTTTAACAATTTACAGTTTTCACTACAAAACACTAAATTCGTTATTTGCACACATAAACACAACATAACTTACAAAATCCCTGCTAAATTCCTACTAAGGCCTCGTTCACATGGGGTGTACTAAAGTGTATTCCCATGGAGAGCCATGTTTACCCACACGGCTGCAAGGACAGATCTGACATCCATGCTGGTGTAGGTGTATGGCCCCAAACAGACAGTGTGAGTTTGGGGACATGCACCTACATGGATGTCAAGTTGGGAGCAGTGGCTGTGTCCATGCAGCTGCTGTGTCCTAACTGACAGGAATAGGACTGCCTGCACAGGAATGAACAGATTACCTGTACATTCTCATGCAGCTGCAGTGTCCCAATTGACATCAGTGGGATAGCCTGCATGGGGATGCACAGAACGCAACCTGACTGTAGTATGACCCATGTGAAAGAAGCCTTACCCTAGGTTCACACCTATGCGTTTTCCACAGCGTTTTGCATTTTGCAGAAACACACTACAGTCAATTTAACATGATTTCCTATGGAACAGGTTCACATCTCCACATTTTCACCTGGTGCATTTTCTGAAAAGGGTCAGGGACTTTTTTTAACGCAAAAAGTTGCGTTTTTGGTTCTATAGACTTCAAATGGAAAAGCATGTAGTGCATATTTTCTGTGTTTTCAGACAAAAAAAAGACAAAAGTCCATCCAGTTCAACCATAAAAAAAAAAAAAGTTATAATCCTATACCCACAGTTGATCCAGAGGAAGGCAAAAAACTCAGCAAAGTATGATCCGTTTTTTATGTTTACTATTTTTCACAATTTTTAAAAATATATTTCTTTAATTTAAAAAAAATATATTTTTTTTTTTTTGGGGGGGGGGGGGCTTTCGGGATACCCCAATGTCTTTTTTTTTTTTTGGTTGAACAAAAGGTCTGAACACAGTCTCTTTCTCTGAAACCTGAACTGCACTGTAATGAATGAGATAGGTGTCTGTATAGAGACTCCTATACATTCACAAACTACCACAGTTTACTGTCAGTGATGAATGGACAGAGTGATCACTTTGTTCATTCAGGAAAGTAAAGGGGCTGGTATACACATGTTTACCAGCCTCCCCCTCTCCTGCTGTCCATCCTGATTGCGATCTGCCACTGACAGAACTCCCGAGTCCCGGGCAGCAGCTGCAGTTGGCAGGAAGGGTGGAGGGAAAGCCATCCAGCAGAGCTACCTGGAGGGGGGCTGCCAGGGATAGGTGAGTTGGGGGGGACACTGAAGGGGAGATCCCAGCGGGGGGGGCTTTTTTAATCATTTGTGCATTGCAGATGCCGGTGGGAGAGGCAGCAGGGGGAAGCTGGCAATTGCAGCTGATCCATGAGCTATTGCTGGGGGGTGAAGATCGATGGTAGATGCAGGGAACAGTGGGGGGGGGGGGTGGAGCAAGAATTTAGGTAATGCAGGGGGATGCAAACAAGGGTAGAGAGGTAGCGGTATTGGGGGAGGGGTATTTTAGGTGAATAGCTCTGATCAGTGGCTTGTTAGCCACTAATCAGAGCTATAGTTTTCTTCAGCAGGGTCAACTGAACAATTCTGCTATAAGTTCATAGTCAATGAAGTGACCATGAGCTTATAGCAGAGGAAGAATGTAGGTCCTGGCTCCTGGCCTGCTGAAAGCAGTGCTGTAGGGCCGTACTGCATACAGACCTGGCAGTGAAAGGGTTAAAGGCTAAGTTCGCCTTGAAAAAAAAAAAGTAAATTTTTTTGCAGATAAAAAAAGGCAAATGTGCATTTATTATTATTTTTTTTATTATGACCCTTTAAAGCATTGCACCCGTGATCAGCAGATTGAGGGCGCAATGCCAGGCTCTTACAGACTGTCAGTATAGTTGTCTTCTCAGACCTCCATCGCAGGCAGGCAGTTACTAAAGTCCAGGCAGATCAATGAACTATGAGAGCACTCACCAGGACCCCATAGTTTATTGAGAACCACAAGCCATATGCTGCAATGACTGACAGTATATATAGTTCATTTATTCACAGAATTGTAAATGAATGATGTGGCCATGTGGGTGGAGCCCTGCACAACCATGCTGTTTTCAAATTGTGACAGCGGGTGCGAAGAGGCGGACCTTGCTCGCTGCCACTGGGAAAGGGGGGAATGGATCGGATCTAGGGTGAGGTAGTGGATGCTAAACATGTTACACCCTAAATATGGGTGTAAAATGTAACGTTCAGAAAGATGAACATATCCTTTAATTAAATGTTATCCCTTTTTGGATGCAGTAATACAAATGACACTTCATAATCACCCCAAAAACACCATACCAACAGTGAAGTTTGGAGGTGGGAACATCATGGTGTGGGGCTGTTTTTTCAGCATACGGTACTGGCAACCTTCCTGTCATCGAAGGAAGGATGAATGGAAAAATGTACCAAGACATTCTTGATAAAAATCTGCTGTCATCTACCAGGATGATGAAGATGAAACGAGGGTGAACATTTCCGCAAAACAGTACTTTTTCCTGTGTCATTCCATTGTATCACATATAACTTAATTTCTGAACTTATTTGTTTTGGTTTCTTTATATGTATGGATTGCATGGGTTGTTACCGACGTGGTGAAAATTCATGTCAATAGCACCCTTAGAAATATATTTACTGAGAAAAATAGGGACTTGTTCAATACTTATTTTACCCACTGTATCTACACCATGAATATTGCAGGACCTAAAGCCCCAGTGGCTGATTGTGCTTCTGTATGTGGCCAATGAGGGTAGAAATTAGCTATGTCAGCAGTACTTGGCCAAATGACAGATTCAGGTTTAGCTCATAAAATGGACATCTTAATTCTTTCTATAGGGACCTTAATGAACCATTTCCTTAGTGAAATATGATCTTTAACAATGCCTATTACTATTATTCTTACTCTGTTTTCATTATTCCAGTAGATAGTATATGTTTTAACAAAACCCAGTTTTTGCATAAGAGTTCATAATATGTTTGTTTTTTTTACTTTTTTTTCATACAGCTCTTTAATAAAAAAGTAAGGACTTTAATGATGATATCACAAGTCCTTATTACCTGATTTTTTTTTTCTTTTTTACATCTGACCTATGACTTATATCTTCAAAATCCATTCATCCTGTAACCTCCAGAAATGCATTTGATGCTGCCTATATTTTCTAATTACAAAATTCCTTTGGGGTGAAAGAGTTACAGATAATAGATTTTACATCTGTGTGATTTTTCCCATGAGAAATAAAAGGATTGATATAATCTTGTGTTTGATCAATTCAGGCAGCCATTGTTAAAGTACTGCACAATGAAGATCGGAGGAGATTGAAAGAATCCCCTTTTATTGGACTGGTGGTTGATGAGACCGTGGATATAACAGAGCATCACAGTCTTGTATTGTTCGCAACATCCGTTACACCTTGTGATGGTCAGCTGTACATCACATTCCTGGGGAGATTTGAGTTATGTTCAGAGGAAACAAACCCAGTTGTTGAAAAATTAGTTGAGATATTAAGTGACTTTCAAATTTCTCTGAAAAAAGTGGCTTGGTTTAGCTCTGATGGTCCTTCACTGATGACAGACAGGAAGAATGGAGTTGGTGAGAAGCTGAAGACCCTTTGCCCACTAATAACAGAGCTTCATTGCATCTCTCATAGAAGATCTTTGCTTCCAACAGAAAGTTTTGTCAGTGCTGATTATGGGAGGAAATATGAGAGTGTCATGGATGCAGTATATAGACTGTATGGAAATAAAACTGGAGAAGCTCCTAGTTTTCAAGAGTTACGTAATGTTATCACGGATTGTGGCATAGACTTAAATTGTCCAGGAACAGTTCACTGGATGGCTATATTGCCAGCTGTTGCAACCATTGACTCTTCATGGCCAACTTTAGTTCTTTTGCTTGAAAGTGAATCCACAAAATCTCCTATAGCCAGTGGATTATGCTTGGAGCTGAAAAAATTCTGGTTTGTGGCTTTTACTAAGGTCCTTCTGGACATTCTTCCTATCTTTCAAAAACTTAACCAGTTTTTCCAAATTGAGGATCTAGATATATCAATGATAAATCCAATAGTGTTGGCCTCACAGGCCACCCTGCAGGCACAAAAATCCACTAATGGCCAGAACTTTCAAGAATTCCTTAATGAACTGAATGAGCATCCTGATGATGACAATGAAAGCAGGTTCTACTACAAAGGAGTAGAGCTGGTTGAATGTACCAAAGTTCAGTTGAAAGGCTTTGAGCTCATAAAAGAAACCTGTCTTGACAGTGTCTGCAAGAGCCTCCTGGATCGCTTCCCTGGCAATGTTCTTAAGGTGATAAGCTCCCTTTCTACTATATTTAACCCAAAGTGTTACCCCTCCTCCTTGGATGATATTAGTGCCTATGGTGAGGTGGAGCTTCGACATCTCCTGCAGTATTTTTCAAATGTACTGGTTCCAGAACGAGCTTCAAATGACTTTGCCCTTTTTAAACGTATTGTATTCAGCCTCAGCCACCTGACATTTCGAGATCTTTGCATAAAGCTAGTCCACAGCAACTCTGAAATGCATGAGTTGTTTCCTGACTTCACTGTTTTGGCAGCTGTGGCTTTAGTCATGCCACTTGGGTCTACTCTTTTTGAAAAGATAAATCGGGCCAAGGAGTTGTGGAAAAAATGTCACCTGGAAGATACAGCTGAAAGTGGCTTTAGTGATGTTCTAAAAATCAGCGTTGATAATCCTTCTCTAAATGAACTAGACTTTGCTAAAGCAATTGAAATATTTGAAAACACAAGACAATCAGAGGATAAGTGACTGTGTATAATTAGAAGTAGTACCAGAATTAAACATTGGACTAGTTAGCTAAACACTGGTGGTGTGGGGGAAAAGAAATACGCATTCCAAGATAAAACCAGTTCAATGTGAACAATGCTCTACTGGCAAACTTCCAAAGCTCACTGTTTTTACCACTTTTAAAATAATACTCCATGCATATTTTTCATGGTATCCAGCCTATCCTTGTATCATGTACTTTGTCCTTCTACAACTAGGCTTTCAGCACTATAATATCCAATCATTTTTTTTTTTTGCTAGCGTTAATCAGGAAGAGGCTTTTACATTGCTGATCAACTGCAAAAATGTGCTGTATAATTTGCACTTTGTATTTCTATGTTTACATATGATATGATTTTACCAAAGCATTGATGAGAGGATTTTCCTCCTATATTAATGAGCTTTAGAATTTGTAAACACTCCTGAGCAGTCTTCCTCTGTCAGTCTATTGTGCCATTTTCATGTTTTTAATACTTTGGGTTTGATGATTGCTGTATAAAACACCAATGAACTGTACACCACCGGACCAAACTGTTAATAAGAACACTAAATCAGCTATAAGTAAATAGGCTTAGTGAGTGTCAGGTCAAAGAAAATCGGAATGCTGTTTGTACCACAGCAAACCGTGGATCATTGCTTAGCAGTTTACATACCTAATAAAGATTGATGTTCGATTCCTTTCTAAAGGTTACCAGTACATCATTGTTCTTTGCATGTTATTACAGTATACATTCATCATAGGTTTATAATATGTGGAAAGGATGGGGAGAGGGTAGACATTTTGCAGGTTTTACTGATCTCTGTGACCCTATGATGTGCATTCCTCTCACTTCCTGTTGTGCCACTTACTTAGACAGGTAGTGAAGAGAATCCATCCAGTAAGATTACACTGCAATAAAAGCACTTTATTGTCTACTGAGGGGCACAGAAAGTCAGGAATTCTTAAACAATCTAGTTATTCTACCACCTACAGGAGGTTGTGACATTGGCAAACAAAATACATTGAAATCAAAATACATTGAAATCAATATCTGGATGCCTTTTCTTCAGCTTTGCTGATAAGCATATATACCTTTTGCTGTATTCTTGCTGGCCTTAAAATTCTTCTTTTTTTTCTCTGTTAACTGTAATCAAGATTCTCATCACACCAAAGATTTTTTTTTTTTCTGCAATAAAGACGTCCAAATTGCTGCTTGAGCTAGTCTCCACTTGGCAGCTATCTAAATCAGCATGTTATCAGCAACAGCTTTGGAGGCCGTACTCGAACCCTTCTGTACTGGAAGGTTGTGGGGCTAGCCTGGAATGTAACCTTCAAGCACTGGGCTCTGCATTGTGGTACTCTTTATACTTCTGTGTTAGTTTGTGTTTTTGTTAGTTAACCTGAAAGTATTCTCTGGATCCAGACCCTGTCTCTGAAGACTTACTTAGTGAGTAACACTGGTTGAGCTAAGGCATTGGGAGCTAACTCACTGTTGTATAGTTTCACAATTTTCGAAAAATGTTCCGCCGCCGCCCAGGACAGTGCAGTGAGGGTTATAGCTGAGGGACTCAAGCACTTATGTCATTATTTATGTAGAGTGTTGTGTGCGTGTCATTCAGCCTAGAGCTAGCACCATCCCAATGCTTCTCCTGGTTCTGAAGCATCACATGGATTATCTCCAGTCTCTGGTCTCAATCCACTGCCCACTTACAGTGATTAGGTCCCCCCAGTTGCCTGTGACCCTCAACAGCACTTGGTCAGCTTGTGTTTGTGAGTATGCAAGGCCCTGCCTCAATTTGGGTCAAGTTATTTTCCACTATATGGTACAACAGGATCTTAATGACACGCAGGGGACAGTCCTGCTGCAATACTTGACCTTGGCCCATATTCCTCTACTGTTTCTAGGGGAGTTTTCTTGGCATCCCCAGGAGGAACCAGCTCCTTTAATCTAGATCCTGGAACCCCTATTATTAAGGATGTTTCCCCTTCTATACATTTGGATTTAATGCTGTGATGACTTTCATTCCCTTGGCTATATTATTGGGTGTCTCATCGGGTAACATCCCTCTTTATCAAGGGCCTCCCTTTCCCTGAAGTCAAGAGTTAGGAATATTAAGCACAATCCTCTGTGTTATTGGCACTATGTACTGCTTGCTCACAAAACTGATGTACGAATATTGAGGCGGGTTATACAGGGGATGACTTCAACAGTTTTTGTTTGCCAATGTGCCAACTTTCTGTAGGGGCAACATAACTGTACTGTTTAAAAATTCCTGAATTCCTGTGCCCCTCTGTGTACTTCAAGAAAAAGATCTTACAGTAAGTACAAAATTGTATTTTATTAGTAAAATGGTGAAGGATTTTCTTGCTGACTGTGTTTCCGCTGAGATTTCTTTACTTCCTTTTGTATCAGAGGGGCACATAAAACAATAAAAACTCTACTAAGGTTCTAATCCTTCAACACTCTAAAACCTATATAAACCTATAACCTATATAAAAAATATGATGGCTGTGCTCCTTCCTCCGTTTTGCAGAAGGGTGCCCAACAGGGATGAACTCACCGCTTCTGTTCAATCTACGTATAGAGCTGATTTCTTAATACCCATTCAACATTGGAACTTCTAGGGGTCGAGGTAGGGGGTTGGGAGTTACGAACAGCTTTATTTGCCAATGATGTAATTCTATTTACTGCAAGACCATCTCAAGATGTCCTTAACATTCAGCACATATTTATCATAACACTTTTTAGGGTCTGTGTAATAAGAATTTCAAGAGCAAAATTATTTCCCCCTTAAAAGCAGAACCTGGACACATCATAGCTCTCTTAAAGTGACATCAAATGGTTTTACATACCAAAGCATTAAGGTTGGTAAACCCCTTTCCTCCCTTTACCATTTCAACTATGCCCCTTGATAACCAAAATCTTAAGTTTGAGACCTGGAAAAACTTTCCTGTTTGAACTTTGGGAGAAATCATTTCATCGGAATGTTAAGTTTTGCTACATTACTGTACCCTTTACAGACTATTCTAGTATTGTTGAAATTAAAGGTGCTAATTGTCTCAATCAAATCAAGACACATTTGTTGTTTACTAAGGCATGCTCTTGACTTGTTGACTAAGGAGTCCAGGTACTTTAACCTTTTTCTGCAATCTGCCTTGGCCGTTCCATGGAAACTGACAGCTGTTCTTTACAGTAAAGTCACAGCTCTCCCCTACCCGTTCACAAGAACATTGTCTTTAGAGACACTATTATGGCCTTTCACTACATTTTTCGATTTACTCTCCAATTCTGGAAGACCCCTGTTACCAGTAGGGAGAGTCAATGTAGCATTTGCAGTCTGGCCCACACTGGGTCCAGCATGTTTGTAAGACCTGCTTCATCCTCTCATTCAAATCCTTGTACAAACTTTCCCAGCCACACTTTTTGCATTGTCTTCAAGTTCCTAAATTCAGAAGGGCACATGCTATAGTCCCCAATGCATTTTTTACCTCAAACTTTCATGACAACCTTTTGAATACCAAAACTACTCCATTTCTACCTTATACCCATAACTGGAAATTATGTACAATAAATCTTTGTAGGAAACCAGAGTCAAGGAATAGAACAAATATTTTCTCTCTTCTAAACTAATGGATTAGCTTTTACAGGGCAATAAAAAATAGGACAAGTATCCAAAAACAAACCTTATCGAGAAACCCAATGTAATATTCTCCACAAGACCTGTGTCCTTCTCTTTGCACAAACCAATTCTAACCTTTCCTAGGTAACCTTCTCTTTCTGTCCAAAATGCAATCTACCTTCTTGCCCCACTGCCCCCAGTCATTTCCTAGGATTGCTATCCTTTGAAATCAAGTCCTACATAAGACATATCCTTGCTTGGACCCTGACACATGACACATGATCCTCTGCTTACACTTTTTAGTCTCCAGCATTCAACATCCTCTATGCAAGGCAAACTGGCTAGTGGTTCACATGTTTGTCTGCTATGAGCCAAACGTATTATGCAGGATTGGATCTCATCCTCTTCTGCAACTCTACAGGATATTAAGAGAAAACTAAAACAGCATTTTCTCCAAAAAATTGGACACTGAAATGCAAAAGTTCACATACACTAAACATTTCTTTGGAAAGTAGTGGAGTCTATTGAAAAACTATCAAGATTGAACCTCTCTGATGTATTTCCTTGTTATACACAGTGGAATGCAAAAGCACAACACCCTCGGATCCCTGAGAGGCTGAACTGACCCTTCTTTTCTGATCTGAGTTGCTATCTCCCTGGTTTTCTTTTTCAGAATAGATGTTTTACCTTTATCCATACTACATGGTCTCCCTATATATCTAGCCACAGTATTCACTCATTATGCCATTGCATTTTATTATTATTATGGTATTGAAACTGCTGTATTATATTGCCTTGAAAAAGTATTCATACCCCTTGAAATTTTCCACATTTTGTCATGTTACAACCAAAAACGTAAATGTATTCTATTGGGATTTTATGTGAAAATGGGGAAAATCTCCTGCTGGATATTATACTGATATGGACTGGGTAATGTGTTAGGA